TAGATAGATAGACAGACAGACAGACAGACAGACAGACAGATAGATAGATAGATAGATAGATAGATAATTAAACAACAAGATAGATAATTAAACAACTTTTTATCATATTTTGACAACTGCATCTTTTAAACAACTGAGAGAAGTAAAAATCACCCGTCAATTTCAGAGAGTGAAGAAAAAATTTATACTCACGTGTGTTATGTCTTATGTACGTTATTGTCTCTGACAGACAGCACGTTGAAGCCGCTCAGGCTGCCATTTTCTCCTTCTCAGAAAGCGATAATGTAGTCAAAACATCCGGTTTTGTGGGTTTTCCTCAAAATGGATGTTTCCAATGGACCTCTGCTACTTGTAAATATTACCATGTATTGTGCATGTTAGTTTTTGACAGACAATGATGTTGTGATATTTAAATGATGTGGATTTGTAAGCAGATAGATCGTAAGGTAATAATTATTTATTTCTTAGCCGGAAAGTATTCAGTGAGGTGATTGATGCATGTGTTGAGTGTGATATGTCAGTGTTTTTAGTTCTAATATTCTAACCGGCAGCCAATCTAAGTTTTTGACGAACATGATGATGTGCGTGAGTACTAAGTATACTGCCAATGTACACTGGAAAAAAAAAACTGGTGTAGAAATATTTATTTCTCACACATTGTAAATAACACATTGAATTAAATGTGAAGTTTTGAAGTAGACATTTTGATATTTTAGTAGATATTTTGAAGTGTATTGAAGAGTATTAGAATATGATATTTTTTTACAGTGTAGTTGGTAATAGAATGATTTATGTGGAAAATAAAGTTTAAAAAAACTCAAAAACCCAACATTTGTCTGTCAGCATAACTTACAATATCAGTATTGCAGTATCTAAATACTGTAGCTTATTCAACAACAAAGGCGACTCACTCTTGGTCCTGCAGATAACAGCGTTTGTTGACCTTGCGGTCAAATTTTCCCTCCATCCAGAAGTAATAAGTGCAGAGTATTTCTGAAATATTCATAATTCTGAAAACAAAACAGAATATAGAGATTGCTCAAGGAATTTGTTGGTGAACTTTAAAACACAAGCTTTGGGCATGGCTGACACAGAGACTAAGGTTAGTAGGCCCTTTTTAGTTTTAGCTTCAGTAATATTGCAAGATTCATGTCATGAAATTTGTATTCTTCGTGTTGGCAGACCTGGTTCAGGGTCAGACTCTGGCTCAGACATTTTCAACCAGTTGCCATTATACACCAAACAGATTTTCCGAAAATGCGTTGATATGCAATTTGAATGCAAAAATGTCAGAATGGCCATTTGCTTTAGTCTTAAAGGAGAAGCTGCACCAAAACTGGACGTTTATTCAGATGTTCAGAGAGAGGGTGGAAAATGGCTGTGCATTAATAAATTATGAGTTTTGGTGCAAAAAAAACTTTACTGGCATTATAAGTGGACCTCAAGGAAAATAGCAAAATGTTGTGACCCTTTACAAGTGTATTATATTTCAATATTTCATCAAAGAACACATCCTGGTCTAAGCTGTGAATATCCACTGACTACACTGTAAAAAAAATTCCGTAAAATTTACGCTAAAAAAAACGGCAGCTGTGGTTGCCGGAATTTTACCGTAAAAAATACGGTAGCAACGTTTTAGGTTTTACTGTTTTAACTTAAATTTACAGTTAAATACCGTAATTTCATTAACTGATATAATGTTAATATACCAACCTATTGAAGTACTGAAATCTGTTTTGTACCTTTGTAATACACTGATAACCACCAAATGCAGGTGGTGATGAGAAAGTCACATGATGAACCAAAGCCCATCACAAGCAGCTTTTAAATAATAACATATATAGAAGGTGCACAGTGTCATTCACACAAACACTAAACACCATCATGGTAACACACATGAAAATGAAATAATGCAATAAACATTCATTTAACAACATTAGGTGTAACATACAACCCTAATATACAAAACTGATAAGAAAAAACAGTTATTTCAACAAAAAAACGTCAAATTTGAAATGTAACAGGGAATTCTGGGAATGTCAATTTACGGTTATTCACTGTAAATTATACAGTCTTTTTCACTTCCAAAAACGGTATACTACCGTAAAATTAATGTCCGATACATTAAGTTTTTCACCGTATATAGTAGGGGAATTTACCGTTAACCATTTAACAGGTTCTTACTGTAGCATTTTTACAGTCTTTTACCGTTAAATTCATGGTCATTTTTTACAGTGTATAGAATAGCCCTCACAGAGGCCATTCTCACTCATTTACTCTCTTTCCCTCTTAGAGACCATAATCCACCATTATCTGGAATTGGGGGGCTTATTGCTCAAACAATAATTCAAGCCCCTCTGCTCTGCCCTAAAAAACACATATCGCTGCATCATCATATCAGCTGTGGCATAATTCATCTCTTTCATTTGCCTGCTGTAATTTATAATCCAATTAACAAGCCTTCATTGATGAACTGAAAGTAAACTGCCCCTGAAAATAAGGTTTCGAGATGTTAGCCGGAAGCTATATCTCACATTTAGTTTTTTTGTTTTTTGTTTTCGACTGTTGTTTCTCTGATAAAGATGTAAGGTTTTATGTCTTTAAAACGACTGGTTCTTTGTGAGAGGCAGTCTGATAAGATGGATCAAATAAAGAATTCAAAAGGACAAGTCTTTGATTCAGAACAGGCAGCAACAGTTTGGACTAAGAAGAAAGCTGGCATAAGGCGATGAGCGGCAGGCGCACACGAATGCTCACATGCTCATTCATATTCACACAATGTGATGTTCTTCACAGCAGGCAGCTTACTTTGTCAAACGTCATTTGAGTGCGGAGGATAGCCTGAAAGTGTCTGAGAGATGGCGTTCAACAAATCATAAGTTACGTTTCTCTAGTGTTCAATAGATATCTTCAAAAGCAGTGGCATGCAGTTGACTTCTGAATTGTGGAGGCAAAGTTCCCTCTCTTTGTTTCGATTTTTTAATGCAGTGTAAATTCATCTGCCTGTTCCATTTGATGTTTACAGTTTCCTGAAATACTGTTTACCTTACACTTGGCACAAGAAACAAATGCCTAATTCCCTATTTTTTATTAATTAATTAATTTTATTTGATTATTCTATTTTATTTTAAACATACTCATTTATTGTCAATCAAGACTTGGAAAAATCAAGATGTTACCTTTTTTCACTTATTTGATTTTATTTGATTTTTTTCTTGACATTTTCATTTCATTACAACATTAATTAACTATTTATAAACACTTGAAAAAAATCAAGATGTGATCAGTTATTTATTATTTTAATTATTTATTAATTTGATATTATTTATTAATGTATAATCATTAAACTATTACAGTTTATTTAAAATGCTATTCTTTTTTTACATCTTCAAACACATTTTGCATACTTTTTAGGGTATGTAGGGTATGTTTTTAGGGTATAACTAAAGTGCTAAAAAAGCGAACTCAAAACTAACTAAAAGCTATATGTTTTGCATACCAGGCCATGTCACTGAAACACTGCGCATACTGTATACGCACATATGCCTATTGACTGAAACCAAAATACACATGTGCATGACGTCACTGTTTTCACAAATTTGTGTTTTTGTAGTTTACAGAGAGTCAATAACGGTATCGTTTTCAAAAACTGAAACCCATTTTCAAAAGTTTGCGTTCTCAGGCCCCCAAAGTGCCGTTGTCGTGTAAATGGCTAAAACGCATAAAAAGTTTTCTGTTTTTGGTTGAAAATGGTGTCGTGTAAATGCACCCTTAGTCTCAAACTGTCTTCTAATTTTCTCAACCATATCTGTTAAAAATCAAACGTGAGTCGTGATTTGCTTGCATGTTGTGAAATTCCATCAAATTTGAAAGCATCATGAGATGTTCACCTGCTGCATGTCTGCACCAATCACGGCCCATCACAAAGAAGCTCTACTGTGCAGATTACCCGGAGGCAATTACTGTTGGGTAATTGCAGAGCCAGCTGTTGTGTGCTCCTGCACTGCAGCTGTGGATATCATATCCCAGCTCATATCCCAACTCCACACGCTGAGGCTACTGACACTGTGGTATTGGGGATGTTAGCCTTTAATTATAATCTGAGACCAGTCCACAATTTTATAAATATGGATAAGATTAGGGTAGCTGCTGTTACACCAGAGCCCAAGCAGGAGAGAGCGGAGTGATGGGAATGCAAAGCCAGCCTATGCACCAATGCCTGATTTAATTCACTTTAAATGAGAGAGGCTAATTAGAAATAGCAACTCCATCTTATTTCCATGTACACTAGTGACAGAAAGAAGGAATTCTGCAGCAATGTAAATCAGAGAAGTCATTACCCATGGCAAACCGAAGCAAATTAAACAGCCTGTCATTTCAATTGCTAAAATCTTAAATCATACCTGACACGTTTGGCATTATTTTGTGATATGGAAGTTTGATCATATTGTGAAATTGGCAAAAGGTAAGGAATTGTACGATTCTTATTCCGATCAGATTTCTTCTGAAAGATTCCATTATCTGTTGAACACTAATGATTCTATGACCAGTACTGTTATGCAATACATTTAAAATTAAAGTCACATATGTGGATAGATAGCTAGATAGATAGATAGATAGATAGATAGATAGCTAGCTAGCTAGCTAGATAGATAGATAGATAGATAGATAGATAGACTATACTTCAAATTGGATTTCTCAAAAACTTGTCAACGCAATAGCATATACTCTCTATTTTGTTGAACCAGTCATTTTTCAATGAGCCATTGCTGTTAGTAAAGTACATAGTATGCACTTTTGTCCTATTTTACTCTTATCCTCCTCACAAACTTCATACAGCCTTCATCCATCCTGGACATGCTTTTCCGCAAATTTTCACATGACTCTGTAAATATGTTGCGTTTGAGCATTCACGCTTCCCTCGGGCTCTTAAAGTAGATGTGTAGTCATGAGCTTTTTAACATGATGACTGTGTCCTCATCATATCTAACCTCATGCAGACAACAGAGGTCCCAGAGCCCTTGAGGTGCTAGTGAGCGCGCAGATCCACTTCCCTTCATCCCAGCTGAGCTGAAGACTGCTGACAGAGAGGACACTTGTTAATCGAGATCCTCTGTCTTCACTCACTGCGGCGAATTCAATCCTATTGTGATTCACGGCCCAGCACGTCTCCACATGCAGTGGCAAGAAGCAGGAACTTATCAAACCCTTGCAGGAGACAGTACATTCACTTTGCTCTTCAAAGAGATGCTAAACATTAATGGTGGAAACAATGGCCTGCGGTTATGCAAAACACCGGGAATATATTTGTGGATTCTTCCAGTGCGCAAGCCCACACAATGTTATTTAAGTAGGACGTGTTCCTGGAAAAACATCCCTATCAGCCAGTCACAGTCCTAACCCTTACCCTCAGATCAGAGGGCATTTGTTGCTTGATTTCAGTGTTCTTGATCCAGGATCATGTTGTGTGTGTATAATTCACATTAAACCATGTCATTTGCACACGCTGTCTGCATTGTTTCAGTGCTCAAGTCACTAAAGGAATTACACAAATCAAGTAAGGATGCAAATGCTTCCCCCTCTGCAATCCAGACACCTTTAAAATGTAAAAAATATGCTCGATTACACTGCTTGTCAGGATATACGCTTCGTTATAATGATTTTGTCCGTAATTTGATGCCGTGATCGATGGAAAATGTAAACAAACATAATAAATGAAATTTAATTCAGCTTTCCGCAGGCTGTTCAGCATCTTTTGCATTGAACCAGACTGTGTGTGGTTCGAGAACAAGACACTGGTTTGATTTATAAGTGTCACATCTGTTTTGTAAATCATCCCTCAAACTTAAAATGTCATAAACTTTCAGCATCTCATTTGACCGGCATGAGATCTATTAAGAGTTATCCTACTATCCAGGTCTAAATACAATCTGGAAGATGTTATGAGAGCAGACCTGTGAAGATTGTATTTTCCTTTAGGATCCTCTTAAAGCGCTTTGATCCCATCTCTTCAACCGCGTTCTCATCCGTGGGATTTAGGCGTGACTCATGTCCCCTGAACCAACCCATATTCCTCTTGAAGTCTCCACAAGCTCTCAAAAAAGCAAGCTTGTGTGTTTTCGCTCTTTACGAATCCCTTACATGTTTGCAATTGATTTAGCATATGCTGTTGTGGTTGGTCACATCCTACACTGCGGTCAATAGAGTGTAATAGTGCCCGCCCATTTTTTCAGAAGTATTTTTTCCCATTCATTTTTCCCATAGGGATTTGAAAAAAGTCTTCTTTAAAGCATTATAAACCATGAACCAAGCCAGACATCTACAAGGCGAATCACAGCTATTACAAACTTACATTTGAAGAAAAAAAAAAAGTATGAAATTCAGTCAAAAGACCCTTGAGCACAGAACTCCCAACTTCTCCCCGGGCTCCGCAGCAAAAATGGCTGTCCTCTGCTCCGGGTGTGTGTGTGCACTTGGATGGGATAAATGCAGAGCACAAATTCTGCGCATGGGACACATACATGTCACGTCACTTTCAATTTCAGTTGACTGTTGACAAACATGATGCGGGGCAGCAAATGCAGTTATATGCCCTTAAAATTTAAGATACTAGGAGAAAAAATGCCCTTGTATGAGTTTTTGTCTCATATTTATATCGTATCATAAGGGATATCACACGATCAGCAAGAGCAATATCACAGGAGTGCTGTTTTTGTCCCAAATAGCACAAGTGCAAATGTGATTTTTTGCAACAGTTCAGTAAATAAGAAGTTAAGAATGTGTTATATTTTAGATAGACTACCATAATGTCTGTTTTTTCTCAGTTTTGTTAAAAATGAAAATATTGCTTATTAAAGCCACAGCAGAGCTGTTGTGTGTCTCCGAGCAACACAGTGGTGATTCATTTCTAAATGAATCCATGTTTTGAACAAATCAGGTGAATCAATGATTCAATGGCCCATTCATAGAGATTTACTCTTTACCATTTACTTCATTCCTGAATGAATCAGCCGCTGCACGAATCAAATGAATGAATGACTCAATGACTTACTCATAAAGGCACTTACCGCCACCTTCTGGCTGTTTTAGTTTCTTATTTAGAGTATCATTTCATTAAAAAAAAAATAATAATAAAATAGAATAAAAATAAATAAGCAATTAAAATGATAGTTCACCCAAAAATACATCATTTACTCATCCTCATGTCATTTCAAACCTGTATCACTTACTTTCTTTTATGGAACATAAAAGAAAATAATGAAAAATGTTGGAAACCAGAAGAAAAAGAATGTTGGTAACCAAGCTGATTGGGTTACCAGCAGTGGTGGAAAGAGTACTGAAAAAATATACTCAAGTAAAAGTACCATTACTTTCCAAAAAATGTAGTGTGAGTAGAGTAAAAGTACTTGTCCAAAAAACTACTTGAGTAAGAGTAAAAGAGTAGCCTATTTAAAAGTACTCATGAGTATTGAGTAGTGAGTACTGAGCTGTGGATTCTACCCCCTCATAATAAACGCTGTACACCGCAATTGATAC